TTAACCCACGAGTTTGGCCCTGTCATTTTCTTTTTCCACGACTGTGGGAGTTGTGCGAGCGGCTGCGTGGTTCTTTGTTGCTGGCTGAGGCCAAACCACGACAACATACTTCAATGTGGATGAAACTTTTCAGCAGGGATGTTGTGTAGATGTTGGATCAGACTTACTATTGCTGTGGAACGTGCCAGTTATCAGTGTTTTGTTTCAAGTAAGTTTTAAGAGTGTTTGATGTTAAATATAATCGAAGTCTTTTTTTATTCTAGGAAGCTGAATATGGTGGACATGATCAGATTGATTTATACGATGATGTAATTTCTCCATCTGCAAATAATGGAGATGCCCCAGAAGATCGTGATTACATGGATTCTCTCCCACCATCTGTTGGGGATGATGTAGGTAAAGGAGCCGCACCAAATGTTGTCTATACATATACTGGAAAGAGAATTGCCTTGTACATTGGAAATCTTACTTGGGTAAGTATCTCGTTACTATTTAGGTGTGGCCAGGAATTTTAAAATTATTAGTTCTTTGTAAATATTTTTGGGTTAAAATTGTTTTATATCGAATATTAAGAGTACAACAAAGCAGGCCTTTTGGTTTTTTTGTTGTGGGTTTTTTTTTTTACTTGAAATTTAGTGAGCCTATCTGGAGCTGTCCTGATGTCTAAAAAATTGAGGAAAGCTTCAGTAAATAAAACTTCAGAGTTTCCACTCATGTTTTAAGTGTTATGAAGGGATATTTATGCTACTGTCATCTTAAGGTTTTCAGAGAACTGAATGAAAGAGGAGAACAAGCTTAAACTATGAAATAGTTTATGCCTGCAGATACTTTAAGGCTACTGAATGAACCCATTTTTTAGTAAACTCTTGCTGAATTTTTTGGTTTAAAAAGGAGCTGGAAGGTTCTCTGGGTTTTTCTTGAATTTATGTTTCAGGTTTTTCCAGGGCCGTTTTCCATTTCCCTTTTTGCAGGGCAGTGACTCTTACAACAAAACTGTTTTCAGGTACTTGCCTTGAGGCTTATTTCTGTGGTCCAGTAACACGTTTAGGATAACTCGCTGAACTGCAGTTGTCCTTAAGACAATTACTTTTGTTCTCATTAAAGCACTTTAAAATAAATTGCAGTTAAGCAAGCAAAGTGTAAGATCTGGCCAGTAGCTGAGTTAACTGGAGTTTTTATCTGTTTATCTGAAATCCAATTCTTCCATGTCCACACATGCAAAATTCTCATTCAAGGTTTTTCCCTCTGATTAATTTCTTACTAGTATTAAACTTGAAAAAGAATGCTTTATGGGTGCTTAGGGTTTTTTCCGTTAATTATTACAGTATCCTAATTTCAGGAGCTAACAGGTAAGTAAAGGAGCTGTTGACTTAACAGTTGTGTCATTCTAAAATATATCAATAAAATGCACATGAATTAGCTGAATTCATCCGAGTCGAGTACCACAATTTATAAAGCAGGTAGGCCAACGTTCAGCAGTTTGTACCTGTTACTCATTATTTGGCCTGACAAATGAAATTATCTTCAAAAAGTGCATTTATCTACTTTATCATTGCTATTGTGCTTGTTTTCTTTGCTTTTAGCTCTCAGCAAAGTAATTTGTTGAATTTTTTAAAGAAGCCTTGATTTGAGGGAGGTCAGAGGAGTCGTTCAGAATCTTGAAAGCCTGCTTTGCACTTTCCGTATGAAATGTAAAGAAGCGATGAAGTTACAGAAGTAGGAAGAAAACCATAAGTATTAGTGTATTTGTGTATCTTTGGATACAAGTGAAATTGTTAAACGCTACATAGTAATTAATAGGAAGTTACAGCAAGTAGGTTTGGTGAGGTGGAAGCAGTTGTTTCTAACCATAGCTTCTGTACTCGTTTCCCTTCTTTTGTCTGTAAATCGTGCTATTTTCGTGCAAATAATATGTAGTTCACTGAACTCTTACTAGTCAAAGATCTCATAAAGAGCACTTGATTAATATGATGTTTAAAATTGATTTTAGTGTGGAATAGAATCAGTGGGAGAAAAAATTGATTTGGTATGGAAAAATTAACAATTATTTAAATAGTCCAGTTTAAGCCTAGTACTCTCAGAAGACAAAACTTACACAAACCAAGGGGTTTTTTTGGCACACTGTAGCTGGTATACTGTGTGGAGGAATTGATGCAATGTAGCATATGGGGAAGTATGTATATTTTTTAAAATTAATTTTCTGAGAATTGTAAAAATGACTGCTCTCCAAAAGTCAAAGTATTGACAACCTGAATAAATTACTTCTCTTGACCAATTTCACGCGCACACACACACAAGAAAAAAAATCCATGGAAAACTTATTTGCCCTTTTCCTAGTATTACAGATAAGCTTTCATAGTTGAATATTAAAAATATTTTTCAGTGGACAACAGATGAAGACTTAACTGAAGCGGTTCATTCACTGGGGGTAAATGATATTTTGGAGATAAAATTTTTTGAAAATCGTGCTAATGGCCAGTCTAAAGGGTAAGAACTTGTCATTTGTTTTTTGTGTAAATGAACTGAAGTTTTGGAGGGTGGAAATGCGGAAAGAGTTCTCAGTTTTCATAACTGTCAGTATGTGAACTGATAATCCTTGTTAATTGATATCCAGCAATGACTGGGTATATCATTTCATACTAATGACTTAGATTTCAGGCATGAATTTTTATGACGGTGTTGTGTGTCTCATTATTTTGCGAGTTAAATCTTGTTGGCCATCTTCATTAAGACTATTCTTAGACTTCAGTTAGTGTGGTAGCGTGGTGGTGATACGTGTTCCTCATAGTGTGAATACTGTTCCCCCAACGTCCATTATTAAATCTTTACATCTTTATTTTCCATTAACTGTTGAAAGTGAGCACTTGAGCCCATTTTTCACTAGCAACATAATCTTCCTTGCATGAATGTGCCCTTCTCTGTATTTAGTAGTAATGAGAACACAGTAATGCTTAATAATAACATATATAGTGTATTGATACTCTGCCAAAAAGCTGCTTCTGTTGTGATATATTTTGATGCATCTTGTACTTGCACTTTTGGTTCTTCTTATATGTCCTAGAATGAGTTAGTTTATCTATTCTGAAAACTGGACTAAGACCTGTGAGACAGTTTCTATATCTAGTTTTCAAGTATTCTTTTGCTTACTGTATGTAACCTTTTTAGTGAGGCATCAGGATATTCAGGAAAGGGAAAAACTGTGGTCTAACAACTCTTTTTTTTTTTTTTTTTTTCCTTCCTTTCAGGTTTGCCCTTGTGGGTGTGGGATCGGAAGCATCCTCCAAAAAGTTGATGGATTTGTTGCCTAAAAGGGAATTGCATGGGCAGAATCCTGTTGTAACTCCATGTAATAAACAATTTCTGAGTCAGTTTGAAATGCAGTCAAGGAAAAGTAAGCCTTTCTTATGTGCTGTCTTGGAAAAACAAAAGTTTATTTCAAAAGTAGTACGGCAGTTTTTCTCTCAGCATCTTATAACTTCTGCACATTTTAAAATAGCTGTAAAATACAGTCCAGGTAAATAAGGTTGCATCCTTAAACAAAGATGATCCTTTTAAATAAAAACACTTAATACACTGAAGACCTGCTGCTTTGGCAAGAGATAGCGCTCAGTGAAAGAAGGTTACGCCTTGGTGAAACTCTTGTCTTACAGTTGGAGAAGCTTTCTCAATTTCATGTGGATGTAATTTTAAAAAAAGCACAAGAGCATTTAGAAATGTAACATTTGTAGACACAATGGTCTAAATTCTGGTGCACTTATGACAGAATGAGGAAGAGAGATTCTGCGTTGTACTTTCCTCCGGCACTTTGTCTTGTGGTTCCCAGTCCTAGTAGTTTTGTGGCCTTGGGATGCATTAAAGGAAGGACTCACAGTCTCCCCAGATGCTATTCCATTAGTATGGGCATACTGGAACACTGCCGTATTTTAGCAACGCACTTTTTCCTCCCCAAATGGTTTGGGTACCAAGGAACAAGCTGGTGCTCATGAGCTCATGCTGTAGTGCTGCATAAAACTTTAGAACAAGTGTTGAAAAGCTTTAACCTATTTTGATTTCTGTAATTACACTTTTGCTTTTCCATTGCAGCCACACAGTCTGGCCAGATGTCTGGGGAAGGTAAAGCTGGTCCCCCAGGAGGAAGCTCACGAGCAGCATTTCCACCTAGTAATAGAGGGCGAGGCCGTTTTCCAGGTGCCATTCCAGGTGGAGACAGATTCCCTGGACCGGCAGGGCCAGGAGGGCCGCCACCACCTTTTCCAGGTAAAATAATTGAAAAGCGGAGTTTCAATTTCATTTGTGTTTGCTTGTATTAATGCGACATACTTATTTGGGAAATTATAGAGACCAAGGCAGTTCAATAATGTGCTATAATCAGTGTTCACAGCTGGATTGTAGGATTCAACGTTATTTCTTTGTTGCTGTTCAAACACAGAGTTGTACTTCCTAAATTTGATAGCAATATGATAACATTTTTTGGACATTCTTTATAATGTGTCAATGTACATGTTTTTAAAGTATGAAAAAATTAAGATAGATCATGTTAGCAAGTAGACTTGTCTTTAGTGCAGTGTAGTTAAGATTTTCTGGTTTGTCATATGGGCTGAGAATGCCTGTGTTGCAGAGCGTAAAGTAACTCTTCCTTACTGCATTACAAGTTTGCACACCAACAGGAAATCAGCTTTGATTCATACCCACTGATAGGTCATATTTCCCATAGTTTTGATTTATATTCATAATATATGATATATAATATATATAATTCATATGCCCCATATGAAAGACTAGCTGGAGGTGTAAGTAGGATGCAATGTTTTCTCGTTTTTATAAGCTTCTGGGGGTTTTAGTAACAATAGCAGGTGATTAAGTGATTGGGGTGGGGGAGTTGTCAGTTTTCAAGTTAATGTTATTCTCTTTAGATATTGATAGTCAAGCAACTGTTAAAAATTTTCTAAGCTACTGGACCCGAAGTGGGACCATGCATATCTTGTGTAAGTTGAAAATTTTTCAGTGAGGGGTTTTTTGTTGTTGTTGTTGTTTTTAAGAATTTTAAAAAAAAAGGGCAAGAATTTTAATTATTTTGCTAAGTCTTTTATTTCTTTATATTTATTAACTGTTTGTTTGTTGTTTTTTTTTAGCTGGACAAACTCCCCCACGTCCACCTTTAGGTCCTCCTGGCCCACCAGGCCCACCAGGCCCTCCACCTCCTGGTCAGGTCCTCCCACCTCCATTAGCTGGACCTCCTAATCGTGGTGACCGTCCACCACCACCAGTTCTGTTTCCAGGACAGCCTTTTGGTCAGCCTCCACTTGGGCCACTTCCTCCAGGCCCTCCACCACCAGTTCCAGGCTACGGGCCACCACCAGGTCCTCCACCACCTCAGCAGGGTCCACCTCCACCTCCGGGTCCATTTCCCCCTCGTCCACCTGGCCCTCTTGGGCCACCCCTGACTCTTGCTCCTCCTCCACATCTCCCTGGGCCACCTCCAGGTGCTCCACCACCTGCACCACATGTGAATCCAGCTTTCTTCCCCCCACCTGCCAATAGTGGCATACCTACTTCAGACAGCCGTGGCCCACCTCCAACAGATCCATATGGCCGACCTCCACCATATGACAGAGGTGACTATGGGCCACCTGGAAGGTGAGTGCTTTTGGTGTAATGTGCTTGGTAACAGATTTTACTCCTCTTGTAGGAAGCATTTGATTTTCCTTTTCAATTCAAATTTAGAAATAATGAAAAATAGGGCTGGAAGGGAACCCAGCAGTCTTTTAATTTGCCCCTTTTCACTTCTTTCAGTGAAATATCTCTCAGAAACATATTTGTAGCAGTAGGAAAATCCTGAAATGCAACACCATTAATCTTTCTTTCCCTTTTCAGCTCTGAACTGTTTGTCCTCACTGTTTTTATTTGGCAGTGTCATCATTCCATGTGTTCTACATGTAAACTTATATTCACTTCTTATGCAGCAGCTTCTGGTTGTGCTTCTGTCTTAACTTGAAATTCTGACTTGTACCTTTATCATCATGCTTTGCAAGCTGTCTTTTTAGAATGCTCTGGAGTTCTCCTTTTTGAGTATGTGCGTATGTTGAGTGGAGTACCATGCCAAGCTCATATCATTATCATCTTTCAGCAGCTTTGCTTGTCCCCTTTTTCTTCGGGATTCAATTCAAAGTTAGTCTTTGTTGCAAAAGCTAGGCATGAATTAACTGCAGGACTTCATCTTCCTTTCCTGTCAAGATGCCTCTGCTTATTTGGGTCAATATGGCTGTATTTGTAGCAGTGGCTTTCCTATGGTTAATCCTATCTGGGACAGAGTTCTTGAGTCTCTCTAACTTGAATTGTCAAGTTTTTCACATCCTGTTTGAAACATCTTTTTCATCTGTGCTTTCAAGCATCTCTAGCAGTGGCTTTCCTATGGTTAATCCTATCTGGGACAGAGTTCTTGAGTCTCTCTAACTTGAATTGTCAAGTTTTTCACATCCTGTTTGAAACATCTTTTTCATCTGTGCTTTCAAGCATCTCTGTCTTGCTGCTGTTTCTTGATTTTTTTTTTTTTTCACCATATTCGTATTTGTCACAGAAAATTTGGGGATAAATTGTAAGAAAGACACTCTTTACATAGTTACATTTGGATTTTTCAGTTGTGATTTTACCGCTAGCATGAGAGAGACACTTTTGCTGAAAATGTTTTCTGCAAAGACACTTTGCCTTGATTCTTCTTTTATCACAAAGTTTAAAGAACTCCACTCATCTGTACATACTTTGTTCATACAGAAGCTATAGAAATTCAAGCATTTGGCTTAGTTGCCTGAAATACTATAGAATGATAAGCTGTTGGTTGTTTTTTGATGGACAGAATCGAGGTTGCCTTCAGTTTATAGAATGTCTGGGGAGGGAAGGAGTGGGAATAGGACAGTATTAACTTACTGTCCAGTATTTTCATTAATAATGTTAAAACTATCATCCATAACTATTTAAATTGTCATTAATTATATATCATAGGCGTTTCACTGGAAATAACATGTCCATAAGAGAAAAATTACATATTCCATTCTATGGGAGGCACACGAAAAATAATACTCAAAACTCAGGGAGGTATGAATTTTTAGACATTTCCTCTTATGCTAAACTGGCTATAGGATCTTGTTCCACTTCTTGCAATTAAGAGGATAGCATTGCTTATTATTCTGCATTTTCTTTCTACCAGAAGAACTAACACTGTTCTAGAAATATCAAGCAGTGGGCCAGTTTAACAGTCTCAACATTTCTCTAACACGTTTCTCCAAATTCTCTATGTGATACAGAGACTGGCTAATAGGACACTGCAAAACTTTTGGGAAAATTTTTATATAGGTTAACTTCTGTTACTTTGGAAACCCTATATAGGTAGCTAATAATTGAAGTAAAAAAGTGTAATGAGTATGAGGAGTCTGCTTTATTGCTTCCTCCTTACTGTGACCGGTTTGGAGATCAAATTGGAGCACCTTGAACTTGACCAGAAATAAAAAACAAAACAAAACCAAAACCAAAATTAGCTGTAAAATGTTGAAGTATCATTCAGAAAATTGAGTGTTTTAAAGATGGTAGACTGTGTTTGCTTTTCATAAGTCATAGCATTCTGGTCTTAGTTAAGATCTGGGAAACAGGATCATATAGTTCTAATTCCAGTACTGTTATAAAAATTATTTCTAATTTTGCTCAAAGTCGCATTGCCTATGTACATGTATTTCCGCATCCATTCAATTGGGATAATATCTACTTACATACCTTCAAGGATTTTATGAAAATTATAAATATTTGTAAAGCACAATATTAAGTGCTGCTGAATCTTCAAAATAGATGGGATGAACAAGAATAAGTATTTATACAGCAATGTGTTAATTGTTTTTTTTCTTTTTTTTTTTTTTAAGCTTTCAGGATTGTGTACTGTAACATGGTCCTTAACAAAAAAACAAAACCAAACCCAGATCCTGCTTTCTTTTCTGTTTGTCACTTTGCTATAAGTTGCAAACTTGGATTGTTAAAACTGCAATGATATCTTCTTAAGTTTCCCTTAATCTTTTAAATACCAGTTTTATTGCTTGCAGAGAAATGGATGCTGCGAGGACACCTCTAAGTGAAGCAGAATTTGAAGAAATCATGAATAGAAATAGGGCGATCTCAAGCAGTGCCATTTCGAGAGCTGTATCAGATGCCAGTGCTGGTTAGTAGAACTCGATTAATGTGTTTGCTATTCTACCCAACTGAAAAGAGTTTCTAGAAGCTTGCAGCCCTGAAGCTACGTTTTCCTAATTGGAGGCTGAATTTAGGTACAACCTATGACTGATTTTATACTGTGCTTCAATTAGTTTCTGAGAATGTATTCTGAGTACTGGTCTGGACAGTATTTTAGTAGTTGGTTCTACAGTAAATGATCTGTGGATGGCTGTTGAAGAGAGGATACTTGAAATGGTAATACTACTACAGATAAAAGTCTTTGCTTTAATTTGCATAATTTTCTGATCATGATCTTATATCATTTTCAGGCGACTATGGAAGTGCTATAGAGACCTTGGTAACTGCAATTTCCTTAATTAAACAGTCCAAAGTATCTGCGGATGATCGCTGTAAAGTACTTATTAGCTCTCTTCAGGACTGCCTTCATGGAATTGAGTCCAAGTCTTATGGTTCTGGATCCAGGTAAAACTTTCCTTTTCCATTTGCCCCTATTTGTAAAAGGGAAGGTGTAGTGCAGGACTAGTTCACAGAGAGGAAACTAAATCATGTAAGAAGCTTAACAATTTGCTGAGTTGCACAAGAAACAAGAAATGTGTAAAAGAACCAAATAGGGGTTTCTAGAACTTAGCTACCTTTTAATTAACTGTTTTTTTCAAAATTGATCTGACTGGCCTAAGTTTAACTGCTAGTTTTATTTAGTATCCTTTCCTACATGGTACTCTTGCAATATGTAGACTTCCAAATAGAATTTTCCTTTATCAATTAATACGTCCAGTGCATATTTTTTATTAGAATTTGCTATTGAAAATTAAGGTTGAGGATATTTGATGCCAGTTTTCATTTTGCTTAAAAGTAATTTTCTCCACATTTGTCACAGTAGAAATACGCTTGAGTTGGGGCGGGGAGGGGAAGTCAGGCAGAATGATTTTGCTTGTTGTCCTTTGTCATACAATCTAAAAATTCAGAGTAGGTAGATTGGAAATTCATGGACTCTTCTACCTAGTACAAATAAGAGATTGATATTTCCTTCAAAACTTAAATAACGACCCTTTCAGAGTTAGTACAAACGCTGAGGCTCTAGTTCATTTGGATACTGCAGTAGTGTAGTTGGTCTTGAGTATTAAAAACGTGAAGACAGCTGGTTGGGGCACATACTTCCAGTACACAGGTTAGGAGCCATGTTGCAGTGATCGTCTGAGGTATGGTGCATTCCCCCAGCTGATTTCAGCCATCTTGTCCTCCATTTTGACTATGGACTTTCTGACTTTTCCTTGATAGATTAGAGAGTGGATGCACCTTACTATCTGTAACTAAGTTCCTAGCCACCACCTTTTATACCAGCTACCTTTCATGTTATATACAAAACCAGACCTGCATCACAGTGGACAGAGATGTCTCTCCTACCCTTTTTTGATTACATTCATGCTCGTCAACAGAATACAAAATTGGCATGCAGGTGGCTTGTATTTGGAAGAAAAATTTAATGAAGTAATTCCTTTTAGAAGACGTGAGCGATCCAGAGAGAGGGACCACAGTAGGTCACGAGAAAAAAGTAGGCGCCACAAATCACGCAGTAGAGATCGTCACGATGACTATTACCGGGAAAGAAGCCGTGAAAGAGAGAGGCATCGTGATCGTGACAGAGATCGTGACAGAGAACGAGACAGAGAGAGAGAGTATCGTCATCGTTAAAGAAGGTGAGCATTTGTTTCCTGTTCTTGAACTTTACTGTTACTGACTTACTAAAAGTAACTACTCTAGGTTTGGGATTATTTACACCATTAATATCTGCATTTAAGTGGTCCTGCAGTATGTACTGAATCACTTTCTTCTTGCAGCATCTGACATGAGCATAGGTAAGTAACAACAGGTAACTGGTCTCGAGAGGGAGGGAGTATTGGTGTGATTATCTTCTGCAGATTGCATGCTGGCCTTTTAATTTTAGGTGGTATTAATGTTTGCAGTTTTTATGAAATACCATTAAACCAATTCTTAAAAAAAGCAGTAAGCCAGACTGATAAGTCTGTTCTCTTTGTAATTGTGGAAGATTATATTAAATTCATGGTTATTTCTTATTTGTATTTTAAAATGCTAATTTTGTATTTTAAAATCTACTTGTGTAAGAACTGCAGCATTTAGCCCTTCGTATGTCCTGTGTGGATTATTTCAATTTAGGGAACGCATGTATATACAGTTGCTGTCCTTGCACAAGTATGGCGGTGTTTTGGGTTGGGTTTTTTTTTGGTTTGGTTTGGTTTTTTACTGGTGAGTTTTACTCTAATTCAGGAAATATAGCCAGATTTTGCTCTTCGTTACATGAAATGTGACCTGTCAGTATCTTCTGCCTTCTAGCTAAATTCAGGTGTTACCTTCAGTAAGACTTATGATCCGTTGTTCCCCACCACCCTGATTTTTCATTCCTTCCTCTGTCTGATAGGGAAGTAATTTTCTGAAGACTAGTAAGCAAATGTATGACACAAGGATTGTCTCTTTTCTGGTTGTTCACAAACTAATGCGTTCTTTTATTTCATATATCTGCAGTCTTGCATGCATCGAATGTTTAGATAGCTACAGAGTAGTATGCTAAACAATACTTTTTTCAGTGTACTGCTGAGAGCTTTAAAATACACAGAAATGTTCATCATATTATATAAAGTACCATTTTGAGGATTGCAAATTCAAGCTACCCATGATTCCCTATATTTGACAATGGGAAAAAACCCCACCTATTAGTTTCTCTGCGATAGCCTTGCCTTTTTTTGAAGAATTTCCCACTACATCTACACTAAAATTGAAGCTTGCGAACTTGCCTATCTGCCCAACTTCTGTTTCTTCAATTTACCCTCAGATTTAGTTTCCAGGTTTGCATGTGGTATTTATTCATGGAAGTTCATTTATGGAAGTTAAATAGAGCAAAACTTTTTAGAAATCATATAAAATGTCATATACTCCTAAGTGAAAATACAATTTTGTGTTAGTTAAGCATTAGTTTTTCAGTCAGGCTTTTGTGTCGCTGACTCCTTTGGGAGAGAACAATTTCTGATACTAAATGCTGTAGTCTATTAAGTGGAACGTTGTCTTGGGTTCATATGCTAACAGGGACGCGCAAAGCAGTAGTCGACCTAGACAAGGGGGGGTCAGTGGCTTAAACAGGAAGGTGAGACATGGCAGCTGACATAAAGTTGGCAGTATATATCTGTTTAAGCCACTTTTGGCCATAAAAAATGGATTGGTAGAAATATTTCTGGAATTGCATAAGAATAGCAACTGTGGTTCTTAACTGTAAAATATCAGAAAAAAAAAAAAAAACAGATTTAATAAAAGTAAGTGTAGTTTCTCTTGTTTAACTGGATTTTTACCTTTTATGATAAATGCGTATTTGTGATATTTGCAAATAGTTGTTATTAAGAGGAGGTAACCATTGAGCTGAGTGATGAATGCATTTCCAGAGTGTTCTGAGCAAGCCATACTTGCTTGTTAATAACCTGGAGTTCAAGATACTCTTTTTTTACTCTTGGCGTACTTTATTAATCTAGCTTTAATTTTTGTGTATTTAGTGTCATACATGTAGATATGGAGCTTCTGTGCCAAGTACAGATTGCCTACCCTGTCGCCACAAGAAAACATATCAAGTAGCATTAGGTTGCATTTTATAATTTCCAAAGCACAATTTCAAAATGAGACTGTGGTTTCAGTCTCAGTTCAGGTGGGATTTATATGTGCAACTTCCTTTAACTTTGTTGTGTGCTGGGACCTCTCTCTTCTTTCAGAGAGGTTGCATAGGTAAAATTCCCTTGTGCAAAGAAGAAAATAGGTCTTAAGAACTTGATTTAAAGGACAAATTTAGTATTCTGCATGTAAATGAAAGCATTTGGTATTTTTTTAAAGTTAAGTTGTAAACATTTTGTCTTGTTGTCTTAATGAGAGGCTTTATTGTAGTTTTGGTTTTACATGCATATATATACACACACAAAAACCACAAAAAAGCAGTTATCTCCTGGTTTGTATGTTTCATTTTCACTAAGATGTATGTTACCATACATTCTTTTTTGTTTTGTTCTTTACATTGATTAATATTCATAAACTGATTAAACAGTCTCAGTCACTTAATAAATATCAGCAGTGCTGAAAAGAGTTACTCCCCAAATTACTGTGTTTTGCCAGATAACATCAAGTTGCCTCTGTGCCTGCACCCTATGAATGGCACCTATACTTCTCCTTATTGTGTACTTATAGTCATAACTGTGATACTGTACTGGCATTTTTTTTAAGTGTGACACATCTAGTTTAGAAGCATTTTAACGGTCCATTGTGAACATTTTTGTATACAGTGAAATTCAGTTTGTACTGTATTACATTCATAGAGATGGATTAAATTGGAATAACTTACTAAATGTGTTTATAACAATAAAACTCTATTAAAAAGTTTAGATGTACCACAGCAGGTATTTACACTTCTGTTTGTACAGTTCATGATGTAAAATTAAATTCTTGCAAGATTCTGTGCCTTCACTTGAGTAAGGCTTCATGTCCATTGATAATCCATTCTACAGAATTACTATAAATTGAATGTTTCCTTGAAACATCTTGCCTTTGCTTGTAGAAAGCCGAGAGGTATAAAAGAGAACAATGGGTTTAAGACAAATGTCTCACCTGTGTTAGTCAAGAAAACTAAGAATCCAATAGGATGATATTTAGAATGATTAACAGCAAAATTAATGTGTACAAACAGAATAGTAACTTCATCAGCATGAGTCCTGACCTTTTTTTTTAGACAGAATTATATATTTTTTTTTTAGTTTAACTGATACTTAGTGATGTATTTCTAGCTGATACATTGTCCCAATCTTAATCTGTCTGAATTTCTATAATTGCTGAATGTTACGTTTTTCATTTTATGTTTTTGTTATTGGGTTGATTGATTATTTCCTATTTAAACTGGATTTGGACTGGATTGCAAAGACAAAAACACACTAACATTGTAACAGTTGATATGTATGTAGACTTTGTACTCATATTTCATGTTTTTTCTCTGATTTTTTTTTTTGCTCTCAAACCACTGTAAGCAAAATAATTTAAAGTCTAATGTACTTCTGAGGCTCATATGCTTCTTCAAAAATTGCTCTCGGCTCTCTGAAATAGTTTCAGCTTTGGAGTGATCTAAGAACTAACGTTGGAATTTTCTTTGGTGTCAGTAGGAGGGGAAATGGTACTGATAGTTTTAAGTAATACTCATATTTTTGCTTGTATAAGTAGGAACTGTCCTGTAACTGTGTTAGCAACCACCTAAACATCAAGTGAAGTATGAAATTAGCCTTTTAAGAAACCTTGTACATTAATAGGAAAATGCCTATTTTTGTAAGTTATTTTAATAATAAGCTTCTAGTTAATAACAGAATTTTAAGTGAATTGTGGTAGCATTGTTCAAGACCTGGGTATATGTAGCTGTCTAGGAATATTTCAGATCTTATTAGTATTAAGCTATTACGAACATTATTTACCTAATGTCTCTTTTTTTAAAAATTGTGTATTTTTGAGGAAGAACATGTGGGGCTGGTGCTATTCTATTGCATCTAGCATTCATCAGAGAAATCATAATTTGTGCATCTGATGCAGTATTTGATAACTACCATAGAGCAAAAGAGGCAAGCAGTGCCACTCTTTTATGTGCTTCTTGAAGTCTGTTTTATGGCTACTCTGGTGCTTTACAGAAATATATAGTTTGTTTCTTAATGTTCAGTGATTTCTCTCATTTTCTTGAGGGTGATAAGATGATTCAAAAAATGAACTGAAAATCTTATGCTATTGTTTATTTTCAAATGCATAACTCTTATTAATTTTTTCCACAAACATGTTTATGTAATTCTGTTGTCTTCTGAGGCGTCCTTAGACACGCGTATATTTTTGTGTTCCCCACATCCTGTGCTTCTGTTATTCGAATCAGTGGTTTTGACAAATTTGAGCTCTGTGAAAGCTCCCCAAGAAACTTTAAGGCTTTATACTATTTGAAACACAAAGTAATTACTTGCAAGTGAAAATGTTGGTGTGGTGCAGTGTTCTCCAAAGAATGGACAAATTCCATTTTTTTCTTTTGCTCATTGTGGTTTGAGAACTAAGACTTTTTAAAAAAAAAAGAAAAAAACAACAACAAAAAAACCCAAACGAGAGCAAGCGAGATAAATGAGAGATATATCTTAATTTTCATGTTTTCCTGTGGAAGCCTGATCTACCTTTTTCTGCCTTCCTCGTATATTAATGTGAAAGATCCTTGCCAATAATTCACTACTTTTTAATTTGTAAACTAAAGGTTGAGTTTTCTGAACACACCTCTCTTCATCAGTTATTTTTAGTGAATAGACAGGCTGGGATAGTAGGAGAAAGACATATGATGAAGGAAACTAGTTCGGGACTGTTCTTTTTCATCCCGTGTAAAATTATTTATAAAATCAGGAAATTGTTCTTGTGTTGATCTTAAATTATACACTTAGATTGAACAAAGATACCAGGTAAGTACAGTAATAATAGGAGAGGGGGGGAAATGCAACAAATGGCAGAAGGTGCTAGTGGTGGTAAAATAGCCTGTTTGTACATGTATGATGGACAGAATCACTTAATGTACCTCAGCTTACATGGAGAAAGACAAATACAGAGTCGAACTTGAAATTCCTTCTTTCTCACTGTGTTATAGCTAAAACATCACAGTATTTGGAAGTTTGTGATGTTCTGGAATGTAGGTTAAGTTAAAACAAATTCTGGCTTTCAAGCTGATATTTTATGTGGGATTTTTGCTTTGTGTATTTTTTTCTTTATGTATAGAATAAAATAAAGGAGAATTACATGAATTAATTCTTAGCTGCTATTAGGATATAATGACAAATGTGTATCATGCATTTTACTGAAATGTGAACAGGTTGGGAGATTAAAATTCATTCTCTGAAAATATCATACTACAGTACTATAACTAAACTCGATGGGTGTATGCACATACAGCTTTAAACTAATGTATAATTTTGACCCTTCTAAAAGCTGTTTAAAGCTTTCATATGCTTATTTGGATAACTGGAATTAAGGAAGAAAATTAGTTGCTAATGCAAGATGCTTTACATATATAAGAAATCTATTGGGTTTTGTTGTAAGAGTCTGTCTTTGTGAAAAACAATGCTCAAGTTGCATCTTGCATAAATACAAAAATGTTTGAATACTGAAGTTCTGGGATTTCATTTGTGAAATGTTCTGGCATAAAACCCTAACTTCAAAATCACAAAATAACTATTTAACAGATGAGTCTGAAATTTGGGTTTTTATTAGTAGAAATACTGAGAAACTGATTGCTCTATGGTGTTAAATTGTACAAACCTAACACATGCTTGGGATGGATAGCTTGAGGCAGATGGAAAACAGTATTGCCAAGAAGTACTGACTAGAGATTTATTTTATTTTTTTTAAAGTTGTTTCTTACTTCAATATTCTACTTCCTTGTAGAATACTGAACAGGGTGAGCATGAAGGTATAATCCATACAGATTTATTTCTTCCTTTTGGAACCACAAAGGTTTCCGGTTTTGCCAAGATATAGTGGCAGAATACTTGGATTTTAGTTGGCCACGTTTTTTAAAATGAAGGTTCAGTGTGGCACTGACCATCTTAAGAGCCCTGTAGTGAAAAGGACTAATCCTAAGTCCAGTTTATCACACATTCTTTAAAGTTCCTGTAGTTCCATAAGTACCCCTACAAATCTGGCAAATTATTCCCAGGAACTGAAGCTTTCTTATGCTAGTATTATAAATCATATATGTGGTGCTTTGGATCTGTTAACTGTCGCCATAGAAGTGATAAAGATCCATAATTCTTGCCGCAGCAATTGTATGATGAGAGCAGCAAATTCTGACATGCAGTCTCACAGCTGTCATATACTTAACTTTCTCCAGTAAAAACTGAGATTTTCCCCTGTCTATCTGTGCTCACTTAGCTCGCAACTCTGAACATATCTTGTGGAGGCAGCACTTTGTCACTTTGCTACTAATTACTTTTAAAAGTACATAACACCTATTGAAATTTGGGGCTCTGGGGAGGAAACTTCCCCAAAAGTAGTTACTGGTTGATACATTCATGACTTGGGAACAAAGTCTGTGAATAAGAAAAGAAATTCCAGTCACTGCTTTGGATTTGGATCATGTGCGTACTGTAGTATATAGAGCCTTACTGGGTTATATTTTCTTTTTTTAAAAAAAATTATTATTAACAGTCAATTTGAGGAAAGGAAGAAATGTGTCAATTGTTCATGCAAAAATTGAGTACTTTGTTTTCCCAACTGCTTTGAAATTATTATACTGGTAGAAGAATGTTTGACAGCTGTGTATTGGTGCACGTTCATGAAATTGCTCCTCTAAATGTCTTGTTTTTCACATGAACAATTTAATGTATTGGTTTTTTGAGCAATTTGATTTAAACTATTTTGACATTATTGAATGTTGAAATTGTGAATTATTAATGAAATGAAGATAGCTAATTGTTTTGTAATGGAATTCAACTGAAATCCAGTGTATGGAATTATACCATCCCAGGTATTTTGTGAACTCTTACAGTAATTAACTCTGAATGGTGTGGTTCCTTATTTGCCGTAGTAGATGAGAGTAGGAAGTAGGGCTTGGTGGTTTTTTTTTTCTAGGGCAAGTAAGTGAGGAAACATGCGAATCAATATTGTATTATTTGAAAAGTGGGTTCTTGTGATTAAACTGCAAGCGTGTATTTTTAGATGTGAAGCCCATCCTGCTTGCCACTAGCCTGAAAATTTTGAAGTACTGGTATCAGATTCTGTGCACTTTTAAATGTTACTGAGCTGTGAGCCATCCACTTCATTATACAATCAGTGCATTAACTTAAATGTCAAACCAGCTTAAAACTTCTGTAAGTGGGCAGGTAAAAATGTAAAAATCTAGTGATTGCAAAATTACCTTCCGTGCTTGTTCGTTTGCTTTTGCAGAATGCATACTGTAGGAAGTGTTCTATATAAATGTTTCCATCAGTCACAGGAACAGTAGCTATTTCTTCCTTTATTATTTGATGCTTCAACTGTGAAATTTATATTCTTTCGACTTTGTACAACAACATTAATTTTATTTCTAACTATTGTATTAGAAAACAATTTAGTGCACAAACAAGTAGCTACTGCTTCTGGGTATTTTGTGTTAGTTTACATTATGGTGAAGTAGATGCACGACTTGTGTATGTATAGATAAGCCAACAATTTTCTGTGTATTATGGGGACTAGCAAAATCTACATCACAAATTTTGACACATTACAGCTGAAGGAAGAGGAACAGCGTGCAAGACAAGATACATTCTTCAAGGAAAGACGCTTGTCCAGCAGTTTGCTTCATGTGATTGAACTGAGCCTGTAAGGATTCATGGATAAAATGAACAGGAATAGATCTGAATAAAGCAAATCTGCATACATGGTAACCAGTAGCTCTTTTACTTTTTTATGTTGCTTAACTGTTTCATTTGAGGGAAACCTGTGTGATTTAAACCTTATAGCTTTTGCAACTTTATTACTGGTTATATACATTTGGCAATTATAATGTGCAAGCAATTGGAAAAAGTCAAGTAAATGCTTGTTTTTATAGTAGTTTGTTCATGTTAAACTGTTCATATGATAATGTCTGTACACAGCACCACTTTGATTACAGTAGATGTAGTGTTGTAATAAACTGTTTAATGGGGCTGATGTGTAAAGCTGTTCAAGTTATTTGATGTTTACACCTCAGGGAAAGTCTTGTGTTCAGCAATATTTAAAGATAATGTTACAATGAAAACATTGATGCTGTCTTTAAAAACATCGCAATAGTTCTTGCATATGCCTCAACCTAATCTTGCATTCAGTGAGTTAAACATACTAATGTTGCTCTCACACATCCAATTTTGATATGAAAATAGGTGGTTACAGAAAACCTTTAATGCTATTTTGCTTTCTAGCAGTGTTTACCTAGGTGGCTTGTGAATTTGCTGATTGACATGTAAAACTGTAAAAACTGCAGTTCTTTGTGGTCTGTTGTTTTGAGGAGAGGTGGTCGCAGGTCTGTGATTTTTAGCACGCTGAAAATTTTCTCTCATACAGCCTTGGTCCTGCTTGACACTACAGTTAATATAAACTTAAACTGTGCATATGAACTTGAACTGTACATAATAAGGGGTAGAAAGGTTAGCTTTAAAAAAACCAACCAAACAGAACTCTGCAGTTGTTTACAGTTTTATAGTAATAGTGCTTGTGTGTGTTCCCCCTCCACCCCCAAGGCAGTCTGTACATAGTTGTATATTAGCAATGTGCCAGAAGAAGGCAGATGTTCCCATTTCTCAGACTTCATGGGTTTGGTATTTTCTTAATACTTCAGAGTTTATTCACACATGCATATAAAAGAGAAGGTACACGTGTATGTCCTTGTTCAGTGATGGGCAATATTTAAATGTCTTAGCAAAAAGTGGCACTAATTAAATCTGTCAGATGAGGTTTTGTAAATTTACCTAAAAACAAATTATTGGAGCTCCCAGTGAAAGTTGATTTCAAATTATGAGAATTTGTTTTAAATTTCATTAAGTGTGAAATGCAGGTGAATAGAAAGTTCATATAAGTTGCAAAAACTTAGTTTCTGGCAGCCTTGCACAAAGGCTCACTTTTAGTCTATTGAAATCGTTATGTAAGAGATTTATTCTTGGAGTTTTCACTTATTCAAATAGCTACATTTAATGTTTTAAGTTAAGTTTCAAGACCTCAGATGGCTTTAAGAGGCAACTCGTAGAAAACTCTTGATTCCTTTTTTTTTTTAACAATTTTGAAGATTTTACAGCCAACCTAAAATGTTACTTTGTTCAGGAAAGCACTTAAATCCATTTGGTTTTCCAGAGCATTTAAAGCATGTGCTTACATTCCATAGATTTCAAGGAATGTAAATGTATGCTTTAAGTACCTTATTTGCATATGTGAGTGATTTTATGCTTTACTGAGTTGGGACCAGTGGCCTGTGCAACTGTGAAAGTTTTGCATAAGTCTGAAATGCTCTAATATTTTTGTCACCTACCATTCAGCCAGGTGTCCTGCAGCCAGGTTGATGGACTTGGCTACAGCTTCAGGCTCTCCCCCCACCTTTTTTTTTTCCCCTTAAATTGTGTACCTCAATTCCTCATGCATGGGATCGCTGGTGTTTATTGAACTATTTGCTACTGAGAAGATATTTGACATGTTTGTTTAATCCTGTTTGCAATTGAAAACTGCCTTTTAAAATTTTGTAACACTGAAAGTTGTATCAAACAAGTCATGACTCATTTCCTGCTTTTTGTGAATAGGTGTTGGTTACAAACAGAACAGCACTGTTGTAATTTTTTTTTTCTTTACTTAAAAACATTGTTTACTGCTGTGTGTAATAAGTTTAAGGAAGAAATAACCTGCCTGTAGCTGTTACATGGGGAATAGATAATACTGGAGAGGCAGCAGGTAAGTAATGTTCCATTGCATAGATATATTAAATCTTAAAATAAAAAAGTAAATTTACTAGCATTTTATGCAGGAACTGATATCTTACTCCACATTGAAATAGATTTAAGGAGACTGTTGTTCTTTTTACACAGAGTGTAATTTCTCACTCGCATACCAATTTCCATTGCTGGCAATGGAAATAGCAGAGAGGGAATAGCAGGGGGAAAATAGCATAAATTAAACTGAGCGATCATTGTGATATGAGAGATGAAGTCCCCTTATGAAGCCCTTTATTTCTGCCTATTCTATGAATTACTTACTTTTAACTGATAGATGTACTGTGTTGCAATTTAGATAATACTCTCGTGTTATTGTGAGTTTCATTTGTTAGATTATTTTTTTTAATGAAACAAAAAAATGTACAGAAAAAATCCAAAGACCCTGATAGACACCAAAAAGGAATATGTCTAATGCACATCGTATAACTGGATCTGTAGTAGAACTTTTACCAGGTCTTGGTTTAATAAACGTTACTGGCAATTTCCTGTGCACATTTGGGAAATAGCAGTTTGGTAACTTGCTGACTGGTGATGATGCCATGATGGCTACTGCTGTGCTCTTTGATATTCATCCAATTGTATTTCATCTCCTTTTGCTGATGAAAGGACAAAATAGTCTGTGAGGAAATACTTTATTTCCTTCAAATATTGATTTTATAAGTAACATTGAAAATAACATCTTAAGGCTGCATCCTTTATCTTGAAAGACAAAACCAACAAGGAGTGGCTTAGGGGTGGCAGTGCTGTAGCAACAGAAGTTGTTTTAATGAACGTTTGTTTTTTAGAAGTAGAGGGTTTTTTTTAAAGTAAAATTTCTACTGGACTATACGTTTTGACAGGTCAAAAATACTTAGAAGAAGAACATAGCATTTTGGAAACTGTACAGTCTTCTTTTCCTCATTCCCTTTTTGCTTTCTGTGCCAATAATTTTAGTTCTGATTGCGTTTTGAAAGACATTTGTCAGAACTTCTGCAAATTTTTATTTACAGTGTGGCTTATAAGCTTGGATAGCTGTTTTTGTGTTAAACAAGGTATCTTATTAAATGTAGGTATTAGCTTGATTTTTTTTTTTTTTTTTTTGTTAAGGAGTGAGTGTTTTCTGGTTTTATTCCTTTGAAATTGGTGAGGCTTAGTTTTTCTAACTGTACTTTTTTTACCTGATTGTTTAGTTGCATACCCAAACCCTTGTAAATGTTTTCCTAGTTGTATGTGGATAATTGGAGATTTAAATGTTGTATATACTTGTCATCTGTGTTTCTAGTAAAAATACATGGCATTCTTTATAGAAATACTTAATTCCTGATTTCCTTTTCTTATCCTCTTGCTCTCTGTGTACAGGTTAAACAGACTTTGCTCCTATTTTTATTTATAGAATTTTATATATAGCCTGTTTAAGTTATCATTGGTTCTCGTGTAAACTGAGATACAGCCTTAAATTTCCTAACATAATGCTCATTAAGATACTGTTAGTCATGTAGATTCAAATGTAAAACACGCATGTTTAAGACTGGTACTCTTCAGAGATCCAAGACGCTAAATTGCTTCTGCATTGAAATACAAACCCTTCAAGATCTTAGAGAAGGAAAGTGCAGGTTAATGCGTGTATACTTAAAGAAGATTATTTTTTTTTCCCCAAATAAGTATTTTGTTGTAGGAAAGAAGCAACATGGATTTGTTTAGGATTTACATTATTTTGGTAATTGACTGTGTAAGTCTTAAACATAATGGTTGCAGCATGCTAATTAGTCATGATGTTTATGCAGAAGTATTGTCCCTTGCAACTGTTTACTATGATGCCTTGCAATTAATATTGCAGACGGGCTTGGGGGGGGGGTTGGGGTGATGAGATGGTTTTGATTTTGTTGGTGTTTCCCACCCAAATTAACATCTGACATGCTATGTACTTTTAGATTCATTTAAGCTTTAGAGGATGAATTAGTAAGCAGCAATTTGGAACATAAAGTTCTTCAATTTGATGTTCTCTTGGGATTTTTTTTCCCATGTTGAACAAAATATGATAAAGCATCTCATTCTATTTGTATGTTATGCACTTGTTTGTTCTTGAATCCTTTCTATAGCCTCAGTTATTGCAGAAGGCTTTAGGTTCTGATATGACCTATGTCTGTGCTTAAATCTTTTAAAGCTTCTTTGGAAATACACTAGTTTTATGGGAGTCTCTTGAAAATAGTGAACAGTATACCTTCGATCCCAATGAAATGGGGCATTTAATTTGTAAAAATTCCCATCTATTCCTACCATGTAATGTGATTTTACATGATTCAGTGCTAACACTTTGGAGTATATTCAAGTGATAGACTTTGGCCTCACCCTCTTGTATACTGTATTTTGTAATAGAAAATATTTTAATCTGTGCATATTATTACTACATTCTAAAACAGACATTCCCGTGATCTTCAAATGTAAGAAAACGAGGAATGTGTGTGCTTTTATAAATCCAAGTGATTGCAAATTCAGTTTCCTTACTACTGCAGATATCCTTTTTTAAAATAAAAAAAAAGAAAGGAAAAAAAAAAAATAACCCCAAGTGTTTTAAAGGTGAAATACATTCCTATTTGGTAAACCTCAATGTTTTTATGACTATTACCAGCACTGCTGACTTTCTAAACAAAAGGCTGTATTGTCTTCCTGTATCATTCCATTTCCTGATTCCCATTTTGCACAAGGATGTATGAGTAAACTGTTCAAGAAATGGTTTTGAAATACAGGAGGGGGGCTTGTCTAAGTTGGAATGCAGAATTGCAATGCAAAATGTAAAGAAATGGATGTCTCTCAGAATGCCTGACTCCAAAGGATTTTGTATATATAGTAAACAGTTTCCTGATACCGGCAGGCCAAAGAGTCTGTTGAATACTTGAGTTTCTGGAGACCTATATTTCTCAACAAGGTAAGATGGTATCCTAGCAAATGCAGATTTTAATACAATTTCAGCAGAGGTACTTAGTTAAGTTTAGGGATCATTTCATCGTTTTTAGATGTTATACTTGAAATACTGCATAACTTTTAGCTTTCATGGGTTTCTTTTTTTCAGCCTTTAGGAGACTGTTAAGAAATTTGCTGTCCAACTTTTGTGTTGGTCTTAAACTGCAATAGTAGTTTACCTTGTATTGAAGAAATAAAGACCATTTTTATATAAAAAGAAATTACTTTTGTCTGTCTTCATTTCAGCTTGTCTTATATCTTTGCAGTGCTCATTATGTCAGTCTTTTCAAATATTCAGGCATTAAAGCGTGGACATTCTAATGTAGTTATAGCTGGATTCTGTGCTACAGTTATTTCTGAATCTGGAATAGTTCTGTTCATATTATCTCTCGTCCTTCTCATCTGGTCTTTGCAGAGTTTAAAATCAGTGAGAAGTGCAGACTTTTTTAAGCCAGACGTTTGGGTTTTTTTGTCAGTCACTTTTAGTCTCTTAAAATACTTTTGGTCTCTTAAAATTACATTTTCAGAATCAAACGTGTACTGACGTTTGGAGCTGTGGGTTGGCTGTACAGAAGGCACTAAACCAGTGACGATGAACCTTTTTATTTTAATCTGGCTTCTTGAGCTGACTAAATCTGGCAAATGTTGATCATTACAAAGAACGTGTGTGTTATACCACTGCTGTGTTTAACAGCTGTATGTCAGGCTGAACTGTTGTCAGGTCATCTCATGCAGACAGTTGGTCTGGCTCCAATGACAGTATCCATCCTGTAATGATTGAAAACTACTTTTGGTACTGGGGTTTCATGGCTAAATGTTTTACTCTGCTGCTAAATCAGAACATTGTATATGTAAAACACACATCTGTATGTTACATACAAAAAGTATTGCCATACTGTGCCGTACTAATGGTGAACTTTTCATAATTTATAATTCTTGTTGAAGTTCATTTACTGTAGCACAAAATCAGCTGTATCTGTTGTACCATCTTAGATTACTGGTACCGTTTGGCAGTGTTGTTGGCTGCAACTTTAGTCTGTGATGAGGTTCCAGCATTTGGGAGTGGTGAGGTTATGTGAGAATGCTGATTTTCATTTGGGAAAAATATTTTTTTCTGATCTTTATAGCCTGAAATGCAATCTGATTGGCTTGGAGAATTACAACACTTGTGATTTTATTTAAACATGGTTTTTGAATGAAAGAAGGTGGGCGATTGTATAGGTCTGTGTAGAGGAAACAAAATGCTCATTAGAAAATAAGCCTGAATTTCTTTGGCTAGTGCTCTAAACCTGTAATAACAAAAATAACATTTGCTTACTCTAAAGGACTCAATTTTTAATAGTAAGCAACAGGATAGGAAAACTAACTTGGCCGCTGATTGCACTATGTCTGAATTTCACAGTTCAGCTGGGTTTTTAACTAGATGAGTGTGGGTTGTAGCTCGACTTCATTGACCGAGTGAAGGTTTGCAGAGGTGGAAGGAGTGTTGGGCTGCAGCTGGTGGGGTTCAAGGGACACCAGGCTTCCTTCTGGGTGGAGAGCGTGGGAAAATAATTGCTAACTCTTTATTT